TCCCGCCGCCGCTCTGGGACAGGGGTGCGGGCGTCAGGAAGTGACGGGCCTGCCCCGGCGGGAAACTCCGTTTGGTTGTCTTTGCCCTCCGGGCCATCAGGGCGCAAGAGAGCGCCCCGCGAGCTTCGACCCCGCAGGAAGTTTGCTCGCGGCGGGGCTCGGGCTCGGGCCCGGGCGCGGAGGATGGAAACTTCCCTAAGTAAATTTCGTAAAATCAAAGAATCAGCCACGGAAACACCTATCCCGCGTGTATACACAGCACTCTGAAGTTCGCAGAGTTTTGAGATACCCACGCTGTCCCTGATTTTTCTTTCAGTTTTTCTAACGCTAACTTTGGTTCAGCGTCGGGACCTGGACTTTGGCGTGCCCGCTGCCCCAGACTTTCCTCTTTCTGTGTCTCTTTCCCGCTTTCCATCGCGGTGTTCACTTGGGGTGGTATTTTGAGTCTTGCCTGACTATGCGGCACATTCAGCCATTGCACAAATATTGCCTGAGCACCTACTATGTGCCGGGTACCTTTCTAAGCACAGGAGAATCACACACCAGGCTTCCAGTCCAGTTCTATTTAACCGTAGTATTTCTCACTCTGTGGGATTATTTTGTTCATTTTCCTGTTTGCAGTTTATTACCTTCTATCCCCACTAGAATTTAAAAGCCTGAGGCGTGGGGGCTGTTGGCTGCCTTGTCCTCTGCCCCAGGATCTGTGCCAGGCACTTGGTGGGTGCTCAGAGTTACTTAATGAATGTAGGGATGGATCTTATTCCCCCAGCAACACTGTGAATTCTTATCGCACCCATTCTACAGGACGAGAAACTGAGGCTCAGGTCCAGGAGGTGCAGAAGCCACAGAGCCGATGAGTGGCAGAGTGGGAGTGTGAATCATCATGGCCACAAGGCTATGGCTCTTTTGATGAAGATAGCTTCCCCCTGGCACCATGAATGGAAAAGGCAGTGGGTGGAGTCAGAGACCAGCTTCCAGGGCAAAATCTGTGACTTATGCCATTGTTGAATGCTTAAGGCCTACCTTCCTCATCTCCCTGCTGGCCAATTGGGACCAAGAAAAGCCGCTCTACCCACCTACAGGGCTACTGTGAGGGTCAAATGGGTCAGTAGTGCACCCTTGGCGGCATAGGGAGTTATGACTGAGCATATGGGCCTTGTCAAGATGGAATATTAGTAATCATATAGAAGTGGATGCCAACAGAAAACCTCCAGCCAGAAGCCCTCCTCTCAACGTCTGGTGGCCCCTTCTAGCCAGACTGGCTTTGCAAGACCAGGTGTCACTCTCCACAATGGCTTTGCCCTGTCTCTAATTCGGTTAGAGGCCCTTAATTGAACACTCTTGACTCTGGACATTGGATCCAATTACAGCCATGCCCAGTGCCCACCCCTCACCCCGGTCTCCACTAAACAGCACGCAGGATCTAACCCATAATCAAGGCGGTAGCAGGAAAGGTGGGGAAGATATGTTCACCCCTCTGGTGTATGTCTCTGAAATTTTTGAGGTTTGGTGTTAGACACTGAAGAATTTACTTCTTTCATTTGTAAAGGAGAATAATCACGGCCCCCAAACCTTTAAGGGTTGCTGTGAGGATTAAATGAGGACATGCAGCTAAAGTGCTCTGAACAGTGCCTGGCACGCAAGATGTACTCGATAAAAATTATCTGCTATTATTCTTGGTAAAAGATACTTCTATTAAGATGTCTTCTATCAATGCCTCTGAAAGACACGTTTAGGGGCTTGTGCTTGAAAGAATTGCCTTTTCATAACCATTAACTAATTCAGCCGGACTTTATTGAGTAGTGGGTGAGGTTCTAGACATTGCATATATAGTGAGGGAAAGGCTGATGCTTGGGCCTAGATTTAGCAAATAAAAATACAAGACACCAAGTGACATTTGAATTTCAGATACACAGCAAATAAATGCTTTTTTTTTTTTTAGTAGGAATATATACTAATATTGACATAGTTATACTAAAAAATTATTCATTGTATATCTGAAATTTAAGTGTAACCGGGTATTCTATATTTTATCTGGTAATCCTACTTGGACACACCCCCAGAAATTCTGATTCTGCTGGTCCAGGTTTGGGCCAAGCATAGGTATTGTTCAAAAGCTTACCAGGTATTCTAATGTGCGCCCAGCATCAAGAACCACTGCTGGAGGGTCTGTCTGTGGTTTTGATTGTGCTTGAGATGGAGCATTGTAGAGGGTTAGGGGCAGTGATGTGACATGATCTCATCTTTTATTTATTTATTTATTCAAATTTATTTAGTTATTTATTTTTTTATGGTGACATTGGTTAACGAAATCCATTAAGTTTCAGCTGTACATTTTAACAGTAAGGCATATATATTTACATTGTGTGTAAATATACATAACTGTATTCAAATGTACATACCTGTATACAAATGTACAAGTAAGTATATACCTTCCATATGATCTCATCTTTTAAAAGGATCCTACTGGCTCCTTGTGGAGGACAGAAGGATAAGAGTGGACACAGGCAACCAGTTAGGAAGCTGTTCAATAACACAGTACAGGCCGGGGAAGGGGCCTGGATTTGTTGAGTGCCTACTCTGGGCTAGGCACAATAAAGATATGTAATGGAGGCATAGGTTCCTGGGTCCTGTCCCAGACCTGCCCAGTTTAGAATTTCTCAGGGATGTGGAAGCCTAGGAATTTATATTTTTGACATGTTCCCCTGGAGATTCCGATGAACGATCATCCTTGTGGCTGGCTCTCTGTGCTTTCCATATGTACTTTATGTCATTTGATCCTATGCAATTTATACTATTATTAGCCCCATTACACAGAGAAAGGAACTGAGGCTTGGGGAGGTTAAATAACTTGGCCGGGGTCATCAAGCTACACTATAGCAGAGGCAGGATTTGATCCCAGACCTGGACGATTCTCCTATCCTGCCCTCCCATAGGTTTAAAAATCAATACAGGTTCAAAGATATCTAAACAAGTTTCAGATAATGATCCCTAGCAGTATGAGTTGCAGATAATGGATCCCCAGCACGGGGTGGCTCCTTTGCTATGTCCCATAGATGTCCATGTTTTCAGGATGTAAGTGGGGCCTGGCTGGCCTGGCCTGGGGTCCTCTTTGAAAGGAACTGAATTCTGGGGTGATGTCGCTGAAGGCAGCCCCACATCCCTTCCCATAGAGCATCTTTATGATGCTGTCGTGCTGAACTTGAGACCAAATGACTCAGAGGATGGTTTATGGTCACTTCTTTCCTAATGACGCTCAGAAATAGACTGGGGAGGGACTGGACATACCTTCAGAGGAAAGCCAGGGTGGAGAGTGTTACAGACATTTGTGTTTACCGTGGGTATTGTTATGTTGCTGAGTAATCTCTTGTTTGTGTTTCCAAGGCATCTTTGACCCAAAGAATGTAACATCTTTTTGTCGATTAGACCATCAACTGGGAATTGGCTAAGCTAAGTGGCAAGGTTTTGAGTCAAAGCCACTTGGGTTAATATTTTCCCCCACTGATCTTGTGTGTTAGGTAATGATTTTGTAGTCCTCTATCTTATCTCTTACACAGAGGCTTGGGTGATGACCTCTACCTGCTTCTTATCTAAGAATGCTTTGCACTTGCCCCTGGTCTGACATTTTCTAATGCATGACCATATCACTGATGGTATACAACATACCTTTAGCTGGAACATGGACTGCCATTAAATCACCTTGGATCATATGTGAGAAAGTTATTTCCTTCAATCCTTATTCTGTTGAGAACAGTTTGATGCTATTGAATTTTATTTTTTTTTTGAGGTACAATTTTTATTTGTTTCTTATAAACTAATCAGGGCCATTAATTAAACTCATATTTAAACCATTTTTCTTTGTGACTTGAAGGTTCACAAACAAATATATATGTGTTTTTAAAGCAACTTTACTGAAATATCTTTGACATATGTATACCTTGTGAAAAGATCACCCATTCAAGCTATATAACTTAATCCATCACCTCTATGTAGTTACCAGTTGTGGTATGTGTGTGTGTGTGTGTGTGTGTGTGTGTGTGTGTGTGTGTGTGTGTGTGTGCAGGAGATTTACTTTAAGATTTATCCTCTTAGCATATTTCAAGTTTACAATACAGCATTGTTACCTATGGTCACCATGCCGTACATTAGATCTCCAGAACTCATTCATCTTGCATAACTGAAACTTTGTATCCTTGACCAACAACCCCTCATTTCTCTCTTCCCTCCCCTCAGCCCCTGGCAACTGCTGTTCTACTCTCTGCTTCTATGAGTTTGACTACGTCTGGCTTATTTCACTTAGCACAATGTCCTCCAGGTTTATCCATATTGTCACAAATGGAAGGACTTCTGAACGGCTCCTGTATTAGGTCAGGAATATTAGTTGCAAGCAACAGAAACTGACTATCTAAAGAAAAAAAATTAATCGTATGGAAGGAACCTGAACATTCACTGAATCAACCAGAGCTGTGGAAACCATCTGGTCTGCTGTCGATGCCACTTTCAAACCTTCACCACTAGCCCCACATGCAAGTTCTAGAAAAGATCATTGACCTACATCATGTGACTGACTCAGGTGAAGTGGGAGATGGGTAGAGGAAGGACCAAGCACTGTGGTTGGTATAGTGGTTGCTGTTGAAACTCTTCTTTCAACATTAGCCACAGGGCAGTTTCCTCAGCAAGGGAGGTGGGGAGCCAACGGGAGGGGG